TCTCACACATCAGTTCTTTAAAAAATGGTCCATGGTGTGTAGTGCACACCTTCCATTCCAGCACTTGGGAGGCAGAGGCAGGTGGATCTCTTTGAAACTGAGGCCAGCCTGGTCTACAGAGTGAGTTCAAGGCCAGCTGGGGTTCCAGGGAGAACCTGTCTTAAAAAATAAACAAAAAAAGTGGGCCATGTATGAACTTTTGTAGCATGCTCCAACAGCTTTCAAACAATTGGTGTCAATAAACTGTATTTACTATCAATAAACTGCATCAATAAGCTGTATTCTTTCACTATCTATCAATCATATAATTAATTTGGGAATTAGTTTTTTATTATATATATTTTTTATTTTTTAGAAGAAGCATTTCATTACAGCTTTAACATACCCAGTAACAGTTTCCAGAGCAAAGATACATTAATACATTTATACAATATTGAACTCAGTATAAGCCCTGTAAGACAGAAAATTGAATGAGTTTTTAACTTTTAAAAAAGATCTCCATTTCATTTTAAAACACTGTTTTTTTTTCAGAAAGACTCATTGTTTTTGCTAATAACACTGAGATGTTGGTGCATGTGACTCTAATCTGTATGCATCTGATTATTACTAGTCATAGTCAGTTGCACTTGAATCCTTGTCACCTGTGTATGTCTATAAAGTCATCGGGTAGATTTCAATGATAATGTTTATCACCTCTACTAATTAACATGATGTAGATTTTTATGCTTCCTCCTCAAATATAATTCATTTTTTAAAATTTGTTGATTTTTTTGTGTGTAGATCACACAGAACATCCCAAACCATCTTATTTATATACCCACTTCCCAGATGGCACCCTTCCATAGCCTCCCCCACACACACTAAAGCCCTTATACTCTTGTTATCCCTGCTACTGTCTGCTGTGTTGTCAGTACCCACCCACCCCCAGCCATTCCCCACTACTTGTCCATCTGGTGAATTTAGTCAGCCTATCTAGAGGTCTTTGTTTTGCGAAGGTCATCTGTTCCTCATCTAGCAGCAATCAGTAGTCAATATTCCTTTAGATAAGATTGGGGTCTGCTGTTCATTTTCCCAGTTCTATGCTGGGTTACCATCTGGGAGTCCCTTGGGCCACCCTGGCCAACAACTCAAAAGAAGGAATCTCCTATCTGGCATTGTTGCTTGTTATGTAGCTTTTAGCTATACATATGGACTCTTAAATTATATTG